ACGGAGACTTGCCACGGTCTCCAACCCTCCTCCTTTCTCATCCGGGCTTGGGACCGGCCATGGTGGAGTTGAGGACGGCATCCTCGTGCATAAATGTACTGTATGACCCCCACCCCCATCTGAATAGTAGATAGCTGCTAATGCACAATATTTGCCATCAATTTTCCGGTGAATATGTTTCACCGCATGAATGTATTGAGGAAATGAACAGTGACACCTGTCAGTGCTTACTAAGCATTTCGTTCAGCTCGAAACGAGTTCATTGATAATGATATCATCAGATATCAGAGATCAAATACCATAGTTTGTCACATTCGAAAGGAAGCTATGAACATCTAGTAATAGGACGTCACAATAAAATTATGCAAGATAATTTGATAGTCGATAGAATTTACACGAGGTTTATCCACAAGTAAAGTTTATTATACAAAATCACAGTTTCGGATCGAGCTCGACCCATCTTCAGCGGACATTATGCAAGCAATAATAAAAACGGTCAGAAATCTCTTCGAAACATGTAATTTAAAGTTATAAGTAGGCTAATCCACATCCCGACGTCAGAGATTAAGATAAACGATCATCTCCTAACTGGCAACTGCAGGAAAACTGAAAACTGTTTTTAATTCAGAGGTATAAACACAAGAATCAACAAATCTGCAGTGATCACGCAAAAATAATTCATTTCCTTTCCATTTTAGAAAAACATCTCCCTCGTCATTGTCGAGTTTTTCCAGTAGTTTGAAAAGAATCCTAATCGAGACATCCTAATTTTAGGGGATAAACAGCAGGGCGTAAAACAGCCGGAGTATGACGATTCCGCGCGGCCGTTACAGACCGCACGAGAGTCGTTATCAACTTGCAGTCCCGTGGTTTTAATATCCAACCCACCATGAGAAGCCCTCAATGAGCAGTGTGAAACTTATGTCAAACTAATGAATTTCTGAGATTTAGGGTTTTATTTTGTGACTCCATTTTTCTATCTGCGAGAACTTATTACTATGCAAAATGATCATCTAAGTAGATAGGCAAGGTCATGACAGACGCTTAATGTTGTATTCAATGAGAGATATTCAATAATATGCAAATAATGAACACTTACTGATAGAGAGTAAAAGTCATGAAATTCAGCAATTTGACAGAAGTTTCACATTGTGCTTATGGAGAGCTTATTGATACGTAATACGGTGGCTCAACTGATCGAAAAGACAACGGCCCAATCATATAGATTCAAGCACGCACCACCGGACCATACGTTGATAACGACTGTCGACCGGAGCTGAGAAGGTCTGCGCCAGATCGTTCCATTCCAGAAACGGCTGGAATGATGAGCCTTATGGCAACCGGAATCTTGGTACGACGGATACATCTTTGTCGAGTGGTACCAGGTCAAATATATACTGTAAAGTAGGACACATGGAAAAACAATTAATACAACCAGGAAAGTACTGGAACGTAGATGAGGCAGCAACAGTAACCGCGCTCTGTTAAACGTCTACCCCGTCTACCTCATCTACCTCGTCTACCTCTTTTCTCGTTCACTAACCTTGTTGCTGGCTGGTTCCGCTATTGCGGCTTCCGGAATTTACTTTTTCTCTGGTTTCGTATTCTACGAAATATGTTACTGGATTGTCACCATGGATGACATGGTCTTTTACGATGTTCTGTTCTGATGCGGTTGAACTTTCATCGTTTGCTCTGCTCAAGCCGAATATTTGCTCCTGTACAATGTTTCTGAGTTTCGTCGATGTAGCCCCCGTCACAAATGCAGTTGAACCGATACACTATCCCAAGTTCGTTGTAGAGGATTCCTTTCATATATAGAAGACCGAATTGTGCCAACGCTATATTTGTTCATTAACCGTAGTATCTCTCAATTTGATCCCTATGATAGGGAATGACCAGTAGAAGGATAACATTAAAGTTGCCTGAGGGGTAGGCAGTTGGATCAAGACTAAGGAGCAATTAAAAGACAGAAAGAGACGTATATGATTGACATAACTTGATTACCCTTGCAGCATCACCATTGCTCCAGTGTCTAGCCATGTTGTGTTATTTGTTGTTCCATATGCTCTATCTAACAATATATGCTTGCCATAGCATCATCTCACATAACTACATCCATCGTGCCTTCGACCTGTAGCCACGAAGCTGGTTCCAATGAGGCTGGTCGTCCAAACCGGGACAGTTACACCATTTGGTCATTCCTGGAGGTGTTTTGCCATAGAGAAATGTAGGATCGTTGGGAATCTTGTTCTGGATTGGGCAGTGGTCGCGCATTCGTCACTCCATTTTAATTAATCTTACCAATGAATTATGTATATGAATGAAGACGCATTTAGTTGAATAAATTATATATGAACTTTAAGTTCAGAGGGGTGCCTGATTTCACTTAAAACTTTTCAGGAAAACACGAAAACACCCCTAATACTTTAATTATTACCAGAGTCTCCTTACTTTTCGTCAAATTTAACGGATACAGAGATATGGAGCATTTTGTGAAGTTTTGATCGAAGACAGATATAATTGGCGAACAAAGGGCATTCGCAGTCACAATTGCGAGAGCTGGCTCCAACACCATTTTCAGACCCTCACATCAGCAGAACGGAAATAATTTTTCATTTCGAAAACTCATTTATATTCTGCATTTTTCTTCATTAATGAAAATCATTATTCAGTGGTTCCGGACACAAGCAATAGACCGATATTAAAGCCTTTATTCGAAGTGCGGAAGTTTCAGCCGTACAACATTGATTTTCCGCAGAGTAATCAAGTTGTCTACTCAAAGGATGACCAATGTCGTTTGGCTATAAAGAAGTTTCATATCTACTGTTTGTGCCTAGAACCATCGAATCATCATTTTCATAAATATCTTACGCTGAAAAGATTCGAATCAAAAGCACGAGGAGAAACGAGGTTATGCAAATCGCATCCAATCATAATTTGTCCAACACTTTGGTTATTACTTCCTTCTAAACGAAGTAAAGATGAATGCGATATGGCGTCTTGTAGCACGCAAGCAAATCAGCTGAACGATCAGCAGAACTTCAACGGACATGAGGCGGAGAAAGAGAATATTGCTTGTCGCCAATACGCATCAAGAAACCGACTTTTACGAAGCTTAGCCGATTCACTTCAAGGAGGAAGGATGTAGTGAAAATATCAAGCTTCCGCTTTAAGCATTTTAAACCAGTTTAAAGTGCCGCAAGGATTGTAAGAGGAGCATTCAGCTATGAGTAGATTCGAAAACTCATATTCATGTCAGAATCAATGTGCATCCGTCAGATGCGATGTAAACGACTTAGTATGCTACAGTCTTCGTCGACACAATGTTAGAAGATGATTATGGGATATAGCTACAAGTTGAATGTCCGACATCGATCATTGTACGAACTGCTGGTCGAACGTTGTGCCAGCGGATACAAACTATGACTCAGTGTAGGCTGAGAAACGATGCGCACCGAAGGACTCGACTTGTGGTAATTGAACAGCTTTATTGATGAGCATAAAATTGGAAACGTGAAGAATTGGTGTTAATTCTTGGCATATGGCAAGAAATTCATGGTCGTCGAGCCGTCGTTCGGCCAGTGATTGGCACGCGCCGGTCGTAGTTAATCGTTCGTTCAGCAACGATCGCCAGACAGACAGTTTGTTGTGCAGAGTGCCGAAAGTGAGTAGCGATGAGTGACGATGAGGAGCCACCTCCGCAGTGGACGGACGACAAACGGCCGACTGAAAGCGGTGTGGGAAACTGGATTGACTCGCTCGCTGGCAGTCGGTTCGGTGTGGTTGTCACTGGGCCAAATTACATCAATCACAGAAGCGCGCGAAAGCGAGCGTCCTTCTTGGATTTCGTAGGCAACGGATGGCGCCGCCACCGCCGATGATCGTTATGTGATAGCGAAGCAACGGACCGACGAGGTGAAGGTGACCGACCTACCGACGGTGACGCGACAGCCACCA